TTAGAGACTGCCTACAGTATTTTGGGTGAGTCAAATTAGAAATTAAAGAGATTCTGGCTTTGATTACACTGCCAAGCATTGATTGAATCTTTCTACACTATGGTGGTGTGATCAGCTCTGGGCTGGTTCCAACTCAGGTTCCTACACACACACACATACTCATCACCTCTGTGTCAGATTGTTATGTTTGAGTCAAAACTTCTTCTGGAGCTGTATCAACGCACTGTCTTGGGAAAAGTGTTTGACTGACATGAAATGCGTGTATATACAATGTGGGAAACGTTCTTCCACTGTTCATAGATTGAATTATGTGCCTTATTTTCCTGCACTGTAGAGAGTGTGTGTTCTACAGAGCAAACATTACGTAACTGGAGGGCTTTATATAATTTGTTTTCACCTATTTTTGTTCCATATTTGCCTGTTTTATTGTTACATAACAGTTTTTAATTGATTGGTGCCTTTTTTTAAATTGTTAATCTCGTTCACTGCTCTATTTTTTTACATTTATTTAGAATACAGAACTAATACAAATAGTGTTAGGGACGTGCTTCCCTCCGGGGCAATTCACACCTAAAAGGCATTTGGCAGATCAGTCTTTGCATACAATTTAAGTAAGAAAATAAACCAAAATATTTGAAAAGTAATTTTTTTTTATTTTTTGTAGATTTTGGTGAGAAGACATTGCAATAAATGTTATTTTATTATGATGATATAGGATTTTATGGTGATAGTACAATTGCATCATGTGATGCACAAGATTAATCACTAAATCACTAAATCACTAAATGTAGACTGAACCACTACAATTCTAATTACAGCAGGACAATTTTCATATTAGATGGATTGCTCAATAAAATGTGGCTGCATTTTGTCAAACTCACATTCACTGATTGGGTGCAGCTGGCAGCTGTTTTTTGCGGTGAGGATGTTCCTCCACATCTTGCTATCTATCAGATGCTGTACTCTATTATGTGTTTGGGAACTACTTCTCCAAACAGGGCAGTCTCTACCAAATCTAACTGTATTACCATTTGCAATAATTATCAGTCTCTTTTACATAAGTGTTGAATGGAGCCAGAAAGAAATAGAGTTAAGTGTAGTAATCCCAAACTTTGCATTAAGGAATTGCTAAGGGCAATGTTTCCTCACAAATACTTGCTTCAAACTCTGTTCTTGATATCCAACAGTTGCTATCTGATCATGTTATGATAATGTTTGGTAATAGAGAAAAACAGTTTATTATTAACCTTCTTTCCATTCTGTATGTGGATCTGGATGCTTCTGATACAGTGCACTGTAGGGTTTAATTATTTAAGATGTCTATTCCTTATATTATCCTTTCATTGCATTTTCTTTCACAGCAACATACGAACAGTCATGTGAGGCATACAAACACAAAGGCAACAGATCAGGACATTATTACATAGACGTGGATGGCAGTGGACCAATCAGACCCCAGCTCATCTACTGTAACATGACAGGTAACACATATATGTTCAAGGAGGAGCCTTTAAATCATGAATTTAACAATGTGTTTTGCTTCATTACAAAATAATTTTTTGTCTGAATTATTGGAAGAGTTCCTTTTTGGCTTTATAATTTATTTCCCTCTTTCTCTCCATCTCTCTCTCTCTGCTTTTTGTCTCTCTAACAGAGGACAGGGCATGGATGGTGATCCAGCACAATAACACGGAATTGACAACAGTGCATCAGTCTGCAGAGATAAACCAACATTTATCCCACTTTGACTACGCCTCTGAAGAGGAGCAGTTAGCAGCCGTCATCAGCCAATCAGAGCACTGTGAGCAGGAACTGTCCTACCACTGCAGGAAGTCCCGCCTCCTCAACACACCAGGTAAGGCCAAAGCTCACTGATGTATGAAGTTTCTATGATGGGACATTTTGGAGGACAGGGAGACATTTAAATGTTATAGTTAGGTTATTGTAAAGCACTTGGAGTGTGTTTGTGTGTGTTTAAAATAGACGAAGATGGTGTGGTGTTGTTAAATGGCAGCAGAAAAGTTCTTTGCAAAGCAAGCTTTTTGCATCTGGGGGGAATCTATATCTGGAACAAGAGCGGAGTAGTGTGAATTGCTGATTTAGTAACTAATTAAAACATCAATTACATTTCTGTTGTGCATTTTCCCCTCCTCACTCCACTGCAGCAGCTAAAACTTCATTTGTAACACAACTTGATTTTTCACGTAAAATCAGCTGCTTTTATTTCTGGGTTAATTTTGTGATTCTTTTCTTTTTCAACTGACTTAAAGGTCCAGTGTGTAACATTTAGAAGGGGCTATTGATGAAAATTTTATATAATATTCATAGATATGTTTTCTTTACTATGTAATTTCCTGAAAATAAAAATCTTTGCGTTTCTGTTACCTTAGAATGAGCTACAGAGGGAGTGGGTCCACTTCTTGTCCGCCATGGTGACCCACCAGGTTTCTACAGTAGCCCAGAATGGACAAACCAAACACTGGTTCTAGATGGCCTTTTTATGTATTTTGTGAGTTTACAGCCACTGTAGCTTCTCCTACACACTTGGAGGTCAAGCAGTATTCACTTGTAATCAGTTGTAATCTGCAACTTCACTGCTACATGCCATTAAATCCTACACACTGGTACTTTACAAAAACAAAAAATCATGTTTACAATGGAATGGTTCAAAGTAGGCACTTATGAGCAGCATTTTCACCACTTCTCGCCAGAAGAATCTAAAATCTACTTACCTTTTACTCATTTAAGGGGAAAACAACATTTGAGTTTAAAATTGTGATGAAGAGAGTAGCCCATCTTGTTTTGACCTGTGAGACACCACTGTGTAGAGCACACAGTGTACACAAGGCCTACTTATCAGAATGCTTGTGAGGGAGGGATGTCTTTTTAGCGCCGGAGAAACAGCAGAGATACATGGTCAAGGCTGTAAGAGTCCAATAAAGAGCAACAAAAGAGTGTCTGTTTCAGGACGGGTGTTGTTAGATAGGCAGGTGGAAGAAGACAAATAGAAGAGGGGAGGGAAAATGATGGGAAGATCTATGTCCAATTTGATATGCAAGTGCTGAACTTAAGTTAAGTGACAATGAGTGACAATTCTCTGTTAAACGTTTTCCATTCAACTTTCTGTAAGTCTGTCTGTTTACTGTATTGTTTTACCTCTTTGCTGATTCGTTTGAAATTCATCTCTTTTGCGGTATAATTGTTCCCTGAAGCAGAAAGGGATTTGTAATTACTAGTGTGTGTGTGTGTGTGTGTGTGTTTGTGTTTCAGAGGGTGCTCCGTTCAGCTGGTGGGTGGGAGGACCGGGTCCAGGGCAGATCCAGACGTACTGGGGCGGAGCTCTGCCAGGCAGCCGTCAATGTGCCTGTGGTCTGCAGGACAGCTGTCTGGATTCAAATCACTACTGCAACTGTGATGCTGACTACGACCAATGGTACTGTACTTTATTATGTTCCTGTGTCATTTAGTTCAAATTCATTACACAATAACTGCGAAGAAAGAGTTCTCTAGAAAAACCATGGTTAGTTTTGTTTGGTCAGTCAGAAAGGAGAAGTTTGAACAAATTATGAAGTTCCTGTTGGAGGCAAAGAACACCATGGCATTAGAATATGTGTGGGAGTGCACTATTGCACTAAAGAGAAATAATTAAGGCTGTGTTTTTGTAGTCAGTTTAACCAATTTTTAGGTTAATTTCAGAGTTAACTGCAATGCAACAGGAATCATAAGTGTTGTATGGTGAACATGATGAACGTTATACTTGCTTAACATCAGCATGTAAGCATTATCATTTTAGTACAGCCCCACATATTTGCTAGCATGGCTTTAGACTCTTTTATTTACATTTTTAACCATAGTAAATAATTAAAAATGTCATTATGACTCAACTTTAATGTGTATAAAAACAATGATTTGAGCCTTCAGTGAGTCAATGACATCTGTCTTACTATTCTAATTAAGTAATTAATATGATGCAATTTTTCCATCAAATCCTGCCATTCTGGACAGGAAAGAGCCATGAGACATCTGGGACAAATCCCAGTATATTTAAACATTCCTCCCCATGTTTTATCCAATCTGTATTTAAATCCTTTTATGCAAGCTGTAAGCAATTCTGTATTTAGGTCACCTTCCCCAATCCTGCAACCAATTCTGCAGTTAGACCCATTTCCCCATACTGTAACCAATCCTGCTACTGTCTGCATAGCCAAAGGTCCTTCTTTCTATTATCTCCCTACCTAAATCGGTGCGACTCCTACTCGATTTTTATAGAATTTCTCCTGCCATCAATATCTCATCAGATTCACTGGCACTGTGTGCGCCTACAGTCCTAGATGTATTTTTTGACAAAATTTCACAGCAACAAAGCCGACTATTGGAATTTGAAACACCGCAGAGTTGAGGGAGTGTGGTGAATGTGCAGATGAATCACTCATCCTACGTTCATTCGGAAAAACGGTTCCACAAAACATCAGCTGAAATGCTTGTCTTCATTTGAACGTCTACCTGTAAACCAAACGAATGCAGTTGAGAGATATCAAGTTTTTCTAAATGCAGTGTGTCCCAGTTTTTATAACACACTTTAGTTTGAGTGGGCAGAAGTTTTACACTGCTTCTGTTTGCATTCAACTTTCTAATATTGATATGTACTTCTTCTTCACCTCCTCCTTCTCTTCTTCTCTTCCTTCCTCTTCTCTTTTTCCTTCTCCACAACCCCCTGGCTTTTACTCCCCCTTCCCTTTCTTCTCTCTCATTTTCTTCCCTTGCTCCTCTCTTTCTTCTCTTTCTGCTCCTTCTGTTTCTTCGTCTTCTGGGCTGCTTGCTTCTCCTCCCCTTCCTTTATTTTTTTCTCTCCTCCTTCTTCCTACCCATGCCTTTTTCTTTTTCCTCTTCTCCCTCTCTCTTCTTCTCATTCTTCCCCTACCTTTTCTACTTCCTTCTTATACTTCTCCTCCTCCTCCTCCTTATTCCTCTTTTTCTTCTCCTCCACATTCTCTCCTCCTCCTCCTCCTCCTCCTCCTCCTCCTGCAGGGCTAACGACTCAGGCCTGCTCACCCATAAGGAGACCCTCCCAGTCAGGTCTCTGGTGCTGGGTGACATCCAGCGGCCGGGGTCAGAGGCTGCCTACAGGGTGGGACCCCTGCGTTGTCATGGAGACAGTGAGTCCTTTTCCGTGTTGGCTGTTGCTTTACAAGATGCTGGCGTCCATGTTGACACTTGTTTTTCTCCGTGTGTGGTTTCCTCTTTGGATATTTTTTATATTACATAAATTCAGCTATACATTGCACTAAAGGATTGCCTGTATCCAATCATCTGTCTGTAATTTGTTAATGAAAAAATAGGCTGTGGCTAATTACACTTGAGCTAATTACAAACCAATAGCTAAAATATAACTCCCTTTGTGCTCTTTAATAATAACTTCTAATGAAATGCTACATAATAAACTGACCTAAGTGATATATTTTACCTTGTTATAATTGCAGCCTTCAGTTTAATGAGCATATAAATAAATAAACAAACGGCTTGAGAGATAAATCAACATAAATGAGATAGAGTTATGCCTTTGTTCTTGGCTAATTAGCTGAACAGTTGGTTCATTTGTTTACTACAAGATTTTCATTATACAGCCATCATAATGAGATTTCTTTTAATAAGATGTGTTCCAGAGTGATATATCCAATTTAGAAAAAAACAAAATATTAGAAAACAAAAGAAAAAATAAGGAAGAATACGAAGCATTTTAGAAGTGACGTCGTTGTTTGTCTCTCAGAGAACTTCTGGAACGCTGCGTTTTTCGACAAGGAGACATCTTACCTTCACTTCCCCACCTTCCATGGAGAGCTAAATGCCGACATCTCCTTCCTGTTCAAAACACCGTCCTCCTCTGGGGTCTTCCTGGAAAATCTGGGCATCAAGGACTTCATCAGGATCGAACTCAGGTGTAAGTGAGAACCCAACAATATTCTGACTCATTTTCATATACAGTGGGAGACTTTCCTCCCCAGAAAAAAGACCAAAATCAACCAAAAATCACATGTTAAAAAATGTTTGTGTTTTGCATTTTTGTTACTTCACACATTCATCTAAAGCTGAGTTTAAAACATACAAGAATGATTTTGTGACATCCTAACTTGTGTGGAAGCCATTCAGGGTCCAATTTGCAACGTACATAAGTGTGATGTGGACACTGAAAAATGTACTTGTTTATAGATTCTGGATTTTTCAATGAGGGAGAAGTAGTACTATATATGGAGAGGATAACATAATCTTGACGTTGACACAGGAGTGCTTTGTTTGCTTGTTTGCTTCTTTTGAAACAAATCACTTATTTTAACCAATGATCTTTCCCTAAACCAAACCAAACCTTAGCCACAGAAAATGCTTAATTTTATTCTTCTGTATAATGTAATAACAAATGATTGATTTTGTTGTTTAATTTGCAGAACTTGGTTAGTGGGTTACTGCTTTAACTTCTGCTGCACATGAAGTGAAGCTTTAATGCTAGTTTTTTTTTGTGTTTTTTTTTTTTTTATCTAAATAGAAGACAAAGTCTTTAGCACAAAATCCAAAGAACAAATGTGACAGTACATGGCCACACTGTTCGAGAGGCGATCTGTGGGAAGTGTAATCGCTCTAAAATATCTCTCTTTTTGACTTTCTCTCTATCTCACTCATACACATAAACACACACATACACAGGACAAATGGTACCCGCCTTCCTTGGGGAAACCCCCGGATTGTTACAGCGGAGCGTCTCTTATCTATCTGCAGCACTATTACTGCTATTACTGTTATTATGACAGCTGGTGTTGAGATGACTGTGTATCATTATTACTGCTGTTAACATGACTGGAGCTGGGCCAGAGAGCAGTTACTAAATTAGGTTATGCCTCTGGGTTTTTCTATCAAATGGTTCAACAATCCCACAGCTTTCCCTCCACTGTCAGCATCATCCATGAGGGATGATGTTGTGTTCATACACTTCACCCCTAAATGTGGAGCGTTGGCATGCTGGCAGTGTATGTGATGGATGAACGGACTTCATGTGGCCTTCAGCTCACCTCTCTTTATTATAGGTTAAGTTTCTAACCTAATGGAGCTGTGTAAATGCTGTGGAGATTAATGACTTCAGCATGCTAGCCTAGATTAGGTTTTGAGGTTTGGTCCCAATGGGATAGCACATACTTACAACGCAAATCTTATGAAGAAAGTCTCTTACATTTAAATTGTTTGTTGCTAAAGAAAAAAAGTTAATGTTTTTTTTTTCCTGTGTCATTTATAGAAAGGGTGCACAGGGCACACAATTATCACACCAGCCAAATGCTGGTAAAATGTGCAAGTGGCTGGTAGTTTTGCTTCACTAATCTATTCAGTAGCTCATAAGATTGTAACACTCATTAGCCATTTGGCTGGTCGACAAAAACGTTAATTGTGTAGAAAGTAATAAATCATTCAAGTTTGATTTTACTAAAGTAGAAGCAGAATTACAGGTAAGAGTCTATAGCTGCATTATTGGCTCCCTGAGGCTGTACTTGATCATGTTCACCATCAGTTTAACATAATAGCATCCTAATCCATCCATCCATTAGGGTAGAAACCAAAATATTGGACCAAATAAAACTATGACCTGATGATGGTGCTAGATAAATCGATAATGGATCACCAAAATGATCTAAGTACAATTTATCCCGAGGGGGACATACTGTAAATGTCTCTACCAAGTTTCATGGTAGTCCAGTTGACTAGTAAATGCCATCAAAATCCATCCATCCAAATGAAATAATTGAGCAAATTATAGCCAGATTACAAACACACGCTCACACAAAGAAACTAAGACGTGAGTCTGTAGCTCAGCCTTTCTTTCCTGCCTTCGGCTGATTTCTGAATCATCTTAGTGTCCATCTGTCTGTCCATCTTGCTGACAGATGGATTGGTGGGAGGAAGTCGCTTCACACTCCTGCCAACATATGATGATGGAAGAACTCCACTGACTAATGGGTTCAATGAAAGATTGTGCTGGTCTGGAGCCAAACTGAGGAAAATGCTTTTCCAATGAACAATGTGAGAGAAAAAGACACAACTAAAACATGGTTAGAAAACAAAATGAGACTTTTTGAAAGAAAAATGTCACTTCTAAAGCTCATTTCATTAAGAAGAATAAATAATGTAAGCCCTCACACTACTCCTTCACATAGTTAACGCTCAAGGTCTTCATTCTTCTGACATAGACTGTTCCTCATTGGCTGGATGAATTTCACACATTTCACTTAGAACATCAGAAAAATGAGGCAACTGCTGGATCTAAAACTGACATTTTCTCTTCCATGAGAAAATTCATTTCTATCATTCATAAATAAATGTTGTAGTAAATAAAGCTTACTTAACATACTACAGCTTTAGGACTGTCAACATCATTACACAGTGCCATGATGGATTGTTTAAAGTGTTTCTCTCTGAGCTGTGACATCTTTGGAAGCCATATCAGAGATTTGCAATGTCTCACTCATCAAAGGACACAATTATCTCCAAGTGTCAGGGAAGGTTTGTTAATCAGCCATTTAAGTTCAGCGGGAACAAGTCAAACTCACTCTGCTGGTGTGACAGTCAACCAGTCATCAAAGTGCTTCTCACACAGTCTGTGTTTAGTACCGTCTCTCTCTCTCTCTCTCTCTTTTCTCACTCTTGTATTATCTGATCTAACTGTTCTGACCTTTGCCACCCTCTCCAGCCTCCTCAGAGGTCGTCTTCTCTTTTGACGTGGGAAACGGGCCGCTGGAGGTGAGAGTGGAGACGAGCGTCCCGCTGAACGACAACCGGTGGCACAGCGTACGGGCCGAGCGAAATGTGAAGGAGGCATTGCTGCGTGTTGACGAATTCCCTGCTGCCACGCAGGAGGCTCCTGCTGATGGACACATCCATCTGCAGCTCAACAGCCAGTTATTCATAGGTGAGAAGCAAGAGTGTGAATTTGTGTTTTTTTGATGTTGGTGATAATTGCTATCACATCTTATCCTTTCTTATCTCTGACTATTACTCTAACAACACATTCAGACACTTAGACACAAGCATGGGAGTGTGTCCACAAGCACACACACACACAAAAAGACTTACTTAAGAGAAACATATTTTTTCAGGGAACCAGGGGATTACAGACTTTTCGTCTAAACAACTCATCTTGAAGTAGGCAGCCATCCAGAGAAATTAAACCTCACTGGACTTCTTTCTTTTACAGAGTACATTTTTTGCAATTTCTGCCCACTTCAGTTCATATTAGACAAAAGTTTTGGAAAGCGGGAAGGAAAGTTTTGCTATGCACCACAGAAGTCCCAAATGAGCAGCTGTTGGAGTTCAGGAAACCAGGCAGCTGCATGTGTCTAAATAAACTTAAAAAAAGTAAACTTCATCCTCAGAGTCCCTTATAACCTAACTGGCCAGAGGTGCTTAGGAAGTGGGGAATAGTTAACAAGTGCTGCTGATATTGAGAAAAAAAATGTTGGCGCTATAGTGGAAAACGGAGATGCTGAGTCCATACTTTTGAAAACGCTGAACAATAATTACCCTTGATAAATAACCATGTTTTATGTGTATTTATGACAACAGTTCGGTGTATGTGGGATTGTCTCAATATAAAATATACAGTTTCATGATAATAAAGGAACATGTCACCCAGTGCAACAGTGCAACTCTGTTTTTGGACAACATGGCACAAAGGAATATGGGATATCAAGCTTTAGCTACTTGTTTGGCAGTACTTGTTAGTAAGATCAATGTATTATTGGTTTTGTTTTTTCATGGGATTTAGGATTAAGACTAATATTGACTGTCACCAGCCATATCCAAATCCAAATTTGACTGAAAACAGCAATATTTTTTCTGGTTTAAGAACTAAATATAAAAATTTTGAATTGTGATAAGTTGTAGCCATTGGAGTACAGCATAAACCATTAATCCAAGATGATTATTTAAATCGAAAAAGGTTTTTGGCTTATTTCAAGGAACTGTGGCCTTTTTTAAACGTAACTTAAAAATCACACTGTTCTCTTTTCCTCTCAGTCCAAACTCTCTTATCTTCATCTCGTCCACAAACTTTCATAATTCTGTTTAACCTCTCGCTCTTATCTGTCGAACTGTGTTTCAAAATTCATCTTGTATTATGAGGATTTATCTTTCTGCAAATATTATCGGCATTTGTTCATTTGTAAACAGACATTTTGAAGAGAAAATCTAGCAACAAATACTGATGAGATTGGAGAGATGCAGAGAGAGATGCATTATGGAGGGGAACATTGATTGGCTGGCTGTGTTAAGATAATAATCCTTTCTAAAACAGCCAGAAAGAAGTGACCATGAGTCGTTCTCCTTATATGGGCAGCACTGTCCTGCTTGGTGTTTACTGAGGTTGCAGAGGGATTCATATATTTCAATGGAAATGTGATGGGATTATGAAATAGACTGCTGTGGGAAAGGGTGTTTGTCTTTGACAATGGCTTGATTTACAGTGAAGCAATATACATTTGGCTGTCTCTACTCTCTTGTTTTGGAAAGTGAAGGGCCATGTGCTCCAGAAATTGTTATTGTTAATCCATAGTCTTAGCATCCTCCCTTCTGTGAAATCACAATTCACAGTAAAGGCATCTATATTGCTATGAATAGTGTGTCCCATTTGTTACATATAAAATTGCCTTGTATAACTTAATAAGACAGGATATTCCATATCTTATATTAATAAGCTGCAATATTGCCTTGGGTGAATATATACAACACAAAGTTATTCTGGTTCAGCATTTATTGCCATAGGAAGGAATTAATTAAGTATAGACATGGTAACACACACCCTTGTGCAAGCTGTAGTTAAAATAATGCTCATATTAATAAGTTGTTGTAATGTCTGTGTTGACTGATGTAAACAAATGTGTGTTTATGTCTTCCTGCTTAGTCGCATTAGAAAATATATAGTCAGATACAGCATCCAGGGATGGCAGTAACATATTTCATTTTAGTTCTTTTTAGGTTTGTCTTGTTTTCTGGTTAATTTTAGTATGTCTACACTGAGGAAGGTGGTTTTTCATTTATAATTGATCATCAGTTGTTCACATATTTCTATAGAAAAGAAAATTGGTGGTCTAAGGGTGTTCTTATATGTTATACTCTATATATAATAATCTCTGACAGGATGTTAATAATAATAATAATAATAATAACTTTATTTGTATAGCACTTTTAAAAACATGGTTTACAAAGTGCTTTGACAGAAC